GCATCGAGGCGGAGTAGAGCCCTGCAGAGGCATATGATCTCTGGGTTCCGTGACTGCCGGCGAGGCCGAGGCTTCCCGAGGGTCGGGTGGTGTAGTAGGCCTCAGGGCCGTGTCGAGTGTCCCGGGGGTCATCGGGCCTTTAGAAGAACTGCGGGTGGAGGAGGCTGGCGTGGAGAGGAAGCGGATGGGATGAAGGGATGTCTGAGGGCGCTTGTCTTCGTTAGAACGGAGTTTGGTCTTCTGCGACATCAAAAAAGAGGGTTTGGGATGCCGTGATCAGCTGAAAAGTCTCAAGTGGTAGCAGAGCTCAGGCAATGTGCTTCTTCACTCCGCCATAGCCAGGCCACGCCCCCGCGATGTTCAAATTATGTCGCTGTCACTAAGTGTGACATTGTATTCCAGCTTTCTAACCTGTGACCACTATTAGCTTTTAGAGAAAAACATTTAAATGTTAGCTTTTACTTTTAGACTGAGAAGTACAGAAACATTTCTGAAATCCTAGGGATGTGAGGTGTTTCCACCAATAAAGGACAAATAAATGAATTTATTTTAATGCATTTTTTTTTTTTTTAGCTGTGCTATTTTTCTAAAAAATAATAATAATCAAAACCTGAGAAAAAATGGTTTCTTTACATTTTTTTTTTCCTCCCCCCTTTTTTTAATGTATTCATATTTCATATGTTATTCATCCTAAGTGAGGCGTTGGGCATACACATGGGATTTATATATATTGTAGGGAACCAGTCTCAATGTAGAGGCAAACTCGCAGTCTCTTCAACAAAAAACTACTCGAGTATATACGGTATATGTGTAATATATCTATATATAGATATCTATAGATATATAGATATCTTATATCTATAGATATATATCTAGATATCTATAGATCTATAGATATCTATATATGAATATATAGCCCTATCTGTCCTGTAAAAAACACTATATAATATGTGTGGGTGCACTTAGTAAGAAAGTATATTACTGAGTGGGAGAATCGCACAGCAAAAATGTGAAAAGTGCGTCAGTCATTAACGAACAGAAATTGAAAAAAAGCTCAGTCATGAAGGGGTTAAAAAAACGTTTTGGCTTTAGTTCTTTAACGTAAATTTTGGAAGATAGTGGACGTTTTTATATGATGTTAGAGAACATGCTGTTTTTGAACAGAAGTTGAAAAGGCAGAATTGTAAATGCCAATTGTAACAATATAACTTTTCTCGTGTGTGTGTGTGTACAGTATATATGTATGTCACTTTTTATCTGTCACGAAAGCAAAACACTTGCGTGGTTAGGCCATGAGGGAAGCAGCCATTCCCTAACTCATGTACTACTTGCTAATTCTGGGACACTGAAGTGAAACGCCTTCACTGAGTCACTGTACTAGAACTAGCACAATGGCTACTTTCATAAGAGCCTAATAACAGTCCCTTTAATTTGATAGTAGTGGCTCAATTTAAAGTGATATACCTGACTATATTTATTTATCTTTATCTCCTAGAGAAGGGCTGAAGACCTCCTGAACTTGCACTGTGTTTGAGTTAATGTCTCTGATGTGAAGGACCCCGTCTCATTTTTTTTATTGCAACTGGAAGATCTTTGTGACAACAACTTTACTGGCGTATGTAAGTTGAATGCTGTTTTGATCTTGCCCATGTGTCGATTTTCTATTGTTCAGTAATCTGTGTTTCCTAGAGTTTTTCCAGCCAAATGTGTGTGAAAAGAGTCCGCTCTTACTGCTCTTTGTGGCCCCAGTGGGCAGATTTTCTCTCGCTTGTCTTGGTGACCACGTGGCACCAGGACAGGAAGTGGGGCAAACCACAACACACACATGTGAACCATCTGTATATTGTGGTGTGTTGTGGTAAAATGCTTTGTCTGCTTTAATGTGCATTGTGGTGTATTGGCAGTCAATTTAAAATTGTTAAACGTGCATGCGTTACGGCAATGCACCTAGGTAAATGGCAACAAAAAAAGAGAACAGTGTCAAGAAGAAGCAATATGATGGTATTCTATAACTGTTTTGTCTAAATAAACTTTTTTCTACTTATATGCTGGTGCCGGTTAGTCAGGTTTAGTCAGTGATTCTTTATTCCTGACTTTTTGCTTTTTCCTTACCTATGTTAATGTGCCCTTATTGCTGTCTGTGTCCGTGTTTTTCTGCATTTCTTGACCAGGGGAAAACTGCCATCACTGGGATAGGAAGTGAGGGGAAATCTCCCCAACAAGGTCTCAGACATCAATGAAATGTGAGACAGATTTCCCCATCCAAAACTAAAAAAGAACGATTGGATGTAGTTGCGCTTTAAAGTCTGTTTATTTTGTCTGTACTAGGCAAAGTAACAGATTTGCTGCTTATTGGGCACCAAAAGCCTGCCTTCCCTGCACCCCCTTGCCATAAGCTGCTACCAAAGCTTTGAGAACTACCTGGAACTTCAGAGGATGATGGTATGATCAAGTAGTACATTACATAATATCACATTTTCTTTCTTGTCCATTGAGGGACACAGGAAGTCTTGTACTACAGGAGGTTTGGACACTGGCAAAAAAAGGTAGACCAGCCCAGGATAATCCCTTTTACTCCCATCATGCCTCAGTTTTTTTGATAGTGTACTAGGAGATAGATGTCTTTTTTATTTTTATTTTTTTTAACTTTAAATTTTTTCTTGAATCAAGATTCCTGCTACATTTGCTGCTTGAGCTGGTCTCTACATGGCAGCTCTCTCTGGATCAGAGGTGAAGCACATTCCGTTCTGGGCAGAACTACATATTCCTGCCTTGTCTGCTGTGTACATTCCAGGCAGACTTCCTCTGCCAGCAGTGCCTGGACCCAGTGGTTCCTACCCCTGGTGGTGTTCCAGTTCCTGTGTCACAGATGAACGCAGGATGTGGACCTCCTGGCCTCCAGGTTCAACAACAAACTGGACATGTTTGTCTCCAGGTACAGGAATTCTCTAGCCGTTACAGAGGATGCTCTGTGGGATCATTACATCCTGATCTACTTATTTCCTCTCCTGAAATCCTTCCTTGTCTGCTTTGCCGGATTGCGATGGAGGGCATTCCAGTGGTCCTCATTGCTCCGGATGAGCACAGGTGGATGTGGCACTCTGGCCTGATAAGACTCCTGTGTCTCCCACTCCATGGGCTTTTCCATCCAGATGGATGGATCTTCTGTCTCAAAACTGGTCCCTTTACTGGCATGGCTGTTAAAGGTCAGGTTCTGAGGGACAGAGGCATCTCTGAATCAGTTAATCCAAAAAACCCCAAACTAAAAATTGGAAATTCTACTTCCCCTAATGTGACAGGCATACTTCGCTTGGTATGAGGTGAAAGGTTTGGTGTCTCCATGTGGCTCCCTTTGTTGGCTCCCCTGTGACTCCAGGGAATCTCATTTGGTTCTCTTGGTGCTTCCTAAGCTGTTTTTTGAACCTATCGGTGATATTCCCCTTTTGCAGCTGCTGCTTCCTTCACAGAGGCTCTGTCATTCCTGATGGTCCCCATAAGGGTGACCCAGCTTAACATTACACCATATCTCGGTGGCTCTAACAGACCATTATTGAAACTCATGAGCTCAAAGGGCTAACCGTTTCCCATTAAGGCATACTCCACTAGATCTAGAAGTGCCATTTAGGTGGGCTCTTCGGCATCAGGCTTCTGTTTCGCAGATTTGCAAGGCAACCACCTGGTCTGGTAAAACTTAGAGAACATCTCGACAGATGTATATTCAGCCCTAGCTTTGGGCATAAGGTCCTCCAGGATGCTTTTTGTGCAGCTAGCAGTCACCAGTTCAGTTGTTTTTTAGTGGGCCTGTTAGCTTTTTATTTGCTGTGGCCCACCTCTCAGTTGGGCTCTTCGGACTCTTCGGACAGCCTAACAGTACAAACCCCTTGGTGTCCTTCAGTGTATGAAAATTTGGCTACAGTTCAGCTTTAACTTCTTATCTCGCATGTTAACTCTATGGCCAAATGTTTTCAGAATTTGGGTAATTTATTCACCAGTCCTTTTTAATTCTAAGCCTATCAGACAAAATTGGATTTTTTTGTACTTGAAATAAAGTCCTTTACTGCAGTTCTGAAAGGTCCCATCTCTCTGTGTTCATAGGTTCCACTTCTCTGTGCTTATGCACTCTTAGTACTGCTTTATCACAAAACTTAGACATGTCAAGTGTAGTAGGGGTTATCCTGAGCTGGCCTATAATTTGTTTTGTTTGTCAGCACCCAACTTTTCTGTAGGTAGTGGTATAATCCTGTGTCCCTCAATCGACTCCAAATAAATAAAATAAAGATTTTATAGGGAGTACAAACATCCTATTTTGCCTGGTAGACCACAAATTAAAATGGCTGTCAAATTGCTCGTGTTTCTGAAAACAGTTGTGGCCATAGAGTAAACATGCCAGATTTAAACTTTAGGTACTTACTCTGCCTGCGTTAAAAATGATGTATTAATGAGCACAGAGCTGCATTAATTTGTGTATTGCATGTAAACCTGGAATTTAGCTTGAAGAATTGGCTCCTGCCAAGCTGTCTGTCTGCAATGTGGTAATACATAATTAGATCTGGTGAGGGGGATTCAGGAAAACATGATCTGCCCATTGAGGACCCCTCGCTAAATCCTCTGTGAATGTAATTAGAGATGGGAACATGCAAGTGGGTGCAATGTTCTATTTTACAAGAACTGCTGCACATAGCAACCACAGACATTCCTCTTTTGCCATTTATGAGGATTAACATTTAAAAAAGGAAAACCTGCCATGCATTTTAAACTTTTAAAATCCTACCTAAGAACAGACACTTTAGGAAGCCACCTCTTACCACCTAGTTTAACTTAAATTCTAAGGACCTGACTTACTGTGCACTGAGACCCTCTCATTGGATAGATTAGTGGAGCTTGGTCCTAAATTCAGTCACATCAGGCTCCTAGTAACAGTGAAAATGAGTCTCAGAAGGAGACGCAGAAGAGTGTTTGTTTTTTTGGCTAACAAAGGTAGTTGGAAGTTTCTTGTAGTGTGTGTAGAAACTTTACCTTTTAAATGCTTAAAGGAGAACTATGGGGTCAGTGTTTTTCCCCATAGTTCTCCTTGGGGTAACGGGAGGACACAAACTAGCGTCCTCTCGTTACCCTAAGCTCAGTAT